ATCAACTTATAAATTGAAATTTTGAAACAATACATCGATGAAATTGTTTCATATATTTTAAAATTGAATTAATGTATTGGTACTTCGGTTTCATATAAGGGCATCTGGTTCCATACATGACTTACTTGGATCCATATATCGAAGATCTGGTATCAAATAATGTGATAATCAACTTATATATTGATATTTTGGTTCAACACTTTGATAAAATGGAATCATATATTGTAAAATGAATTTATATATTGATAATTCGGTTTAATATAAGGACACATGGCTCCATATATACATGGCTACTTTGATTCCATATAGTGAAAAAATGCTATCATATTATGTGATAATCAACTGATATATTGCTACTCTGGTTCCATAAATTGATTAAATGTTTTCATATATTGTAAAAATTAATTAATATATTGATAATCAGTTCCATATAAGGACATCTGGTTCAATACATGGTTACTGTAGTACCATATATCGGAGAATTGGAACCATATAATGTAAAATCAACTTATATATTGATACTTTGGTTTCATGCATTGACGACTTGATTTTAAATATTGAAAAATGAATTATTATATTCATAATTCGGATTCATATAAGGATATCTGGTTCCATATATGGCTTCTTTGGAACCATTTATTGAAGAATTGGTATCATATATTGATAAAATAAACTTATATATAGCTACCTTGGTTTCATACACTAGCGGCATTGTTTCATATGTTGTACTTTGGATTTATATAATGGTTTCTGATTTAAAAAGAAGGTGTTTTCAATTCATACATTGTCGAAGTGAACTTATATATTATCCACATGGTTAAATTAATTGAAAAAGAATTATAAAAGACAGCCATGGCTTTCCATAGCCTCACACAGGGTTAAACGGTTGTGGCAATTCTGACTGCGAGCATGAGACATGTTAGAGTTCCCATAATCTCACATGAACAGATTAAATAAGGCCAGTTCAACCATTACTTTCATAATATCCTTTTTTTATTTCCAACTATAACTTCATACGATGGCATAATTTTAAATATTTCAGGTCTACTGGTTTAATCGCTGGTGTCTGTGTAGGTTGTATTGGTGTGATAGTGACCGCAGTTGCTGTAGGTGTGTATGTATGGTTGACGTTAAAGAAGAAGCGTAAGTCAGGAATTGAACCTCAGTCAAATGGCAACGCGAACATAGAACTTCAGTTAAACAACAATCCTGTAGGTCATTCTAGAATAAGTATTAGAAACGTTTCTCCCTGTAAGTATACATTTAAGTATGTATGAGTGTGTAATAAAAATGTTAAGATCACTACAGTGAAACTGTTCAATGATTATGTCTGTTTGAACATTAAATGAGCCGTGTCATGACAAAACCAACATAATGGGTTTGCGACCAGCATGGATCCAGACCAGCCTGCGCATCCGCGCAGTCGGATCAAGATCCATGCTGTTCGCTATCAGTTTCTCTACTTAAGCGAACATCATGGATCCTGATCAGACTGCGCGGATGCGCAGGCTGGTCTGGATCCATGCTGGTCGCAAACCCATTATGTTGGTTTTGTCGTGACGCGGCTCAAATTTTCATCAATCAAAACCTATCAATCTGTTATATGTTTAACAGGACACCAAGTTCATTAACTTAAGGTTTGTGTTGTTAAAAGTTACGCTACAATTTTTTAGGCTAATTGTTTCTTTTATTTTTAACATTGAATACATATAGTTGATTACATGCATATACAGTATGTCCCGAACAATGCGCTGTTAATTTAAAATAATTTACCTTGAATATTTTCATATAACCTAAACATCATATCTGCATGTTTTTTTATATGAGCGAGCATAAACATGTAACAATTTTTGTTTTAAAGCGCTGTCACATAACAGTCATGATATGCCGCCACCGTACAGTCCAAGTTTGACTAGACCAGCACAAGGTCCAGGTTTGAATCCTACAAGACCAGTATCAGGTCACTCCCAAACATCGCAAGTTTCGTGTATAAATGAACCTGACAGAATAGGAAAACCATCTCTACAGCCACCCCCATACAGACAGAATAGGAAAACCATCTCTACAGCCACCCCCATACACTGCACAAACAATGAGGTCACCGGCACGTGCCGGGCGACTAGCTCCGCGTGTATACACGTTTCAACCATCACCGGCAAGAAGTCTTGCACCGTCAAGGGCTTGGTAGATAGTTTATACGAGTATATTATACAAAAGTACCAGTGTGCCTGTAACGGAGTTTATATGACTTTTATCAACAGATTACAGTAATAGAAAACGTCTAATAAATTACTATTTTGTTACAATATGTTAATAGGAAGACCAGGTTTTGGCAATTGCTATAAAACAGTACTAAGAAATCATTTTAAATTTGTTATCATTCAGCTATAGGGAACATCATCCTGACATCATCCTCACAATCCAGTTATACTGTAGTTTCGCCCAACTGTGTGGCAAAGATACTTTCCTATATTAAATGTAATATTTTCCAAAATCAAATGTATGACATTGCCCCTTTACACGGACCTGACTTTATTGGCTGAAGATTTACATATCACCTTGAAAATAAATGCATTTTGAACTCATTTTTGGTTATAAATCGTACTCTATAGTCTGTCTCATCCCTAATGAAAATGAACTTTTTCCTGGTATGAAATAACAAAACGTGGTTGAATGATGGCAAAAACCTATCTTTGTTAACTAAAAAAAGATTGCATTTGTGAAAAAATGCTTTGCCACCGCAATATACAACACTAATTCTGGAACTGTGCATTGTGCATGTAGTAGAAAATTATACATGTAGCTCTTACTACAAAAAGACCCTGGGTCAAAATTAAAATCTAGGTCAAAGTCCAATTTTACATCTGAAACTGTGATATAAGTCCAAATATTATAAGTTAAGCTGTGTTTACAAAATGTATGTCACTTGGTCAAAATCTAGATCAACAAATATTAAAGTTCAGTTGTGCTTCCAGTTCCTTAAAAGTTGTAGATTAAAAATAAAATAGGGATAATGACCCCAGGGAAGTGCGCTTATTCGACCCCACAAATTGTAACACTTGGTAGAGATTTAGTAGACAATATTTCATGTCAATATCTTAGCTCTAGCCCTTGCTGTTGTGGAGGACAATATCTTCGTAAATTTTACTATATGTATAAAACGAAAACGAGGAACCCCAAGGAGGGACATCAGGGCATTATTTCAGCAACCTTGTTAGAGGTCAATTAGTCTATGTCACATGCCAAATATACACGCTTTTGTAGATTTTGAGGAAAAGATTTTTTTTATTTTTACTATAAATATAGATATCACAAAGAGAAAATCCATGAAAAACAAAGGCAGGGTCAATAGTGACAGAGATCCATAAAACAATGTTTCATGCAAAATATCTAAGCCCTAGCCCATACAATTTTGATGGAAAATGTCTTCTAAATGTTCATTATATATACTATAAGGAAAACACGTGACCCCGGGGCAGAGCCTGTCGATCTATTTAGTATTACGCACGAATCTAGGTCCCTGAAATAATATATTTTAGAAGTGCGCATTATGTCAACGTTAGAAAATAATTGCTTTTAATACTTTTGTCTCAACTTTACTCATTCAAGTCTCATTCGATATATTCATGTTATTATATATGTTTAATATAAATAAGTTATAAAAAGACTCGCCAACCATAAATCTTTAGTCATTATCTAACGTCATTGAAAATAAAAGAATTGGGACACAGTATTTGTCATTGTTTATGTTTTCTTTATACTGTAGTGCTATATTTTGTAAATATTCTATTTGACTGTACTATAAGATAAGGTAAAAAATGCTATGGATCTGGGCAGAGATCTTACTCGTAGGGTACAAAATATTCTATACGATTTCAAAATTTCAAATGAATGTAAGATGAAATGAAAGTAAATAAAATACAAATAATGTACTGACAAATAACTAAAAGATGAACTATTAAAAGGTTTACCATGGTTATTTTAGCGTTTGTAATAAATTGGACATTTTCGTATCATGATACGGATTTCTACGAGGTTTTGAGCAATAAACATTGATTATTCAAAGCATAATTCTATTTGAAAGAGGACGGGAATTTTCCAAACAATATCTGTGTGTGTGTTTTAGTTTTTATTTTAGCTCGGCGTCGGAAATTCCATATGTCCGAGATCTCAGCGTCCATGCCGGTCCACTTTAGGGACTTCTTTTTCAAGCCGATCTTCCTTATCCTGTTCTTCGTTCTTTGGAGGAAAAAACAAATACTGGCACAGTATCATGTTCCGTGACGGCAGCATACAGGTGGTTAACATAAAACGGCTCTTGTTAGCGCCACCCTCCCGAGTTAGTCAATCTCTGGTACTTAAGACGACTTGACCTTGACCTGCCGTGTGCCTTCTCCGCGACGTGCACGCCTCGGGAGGGATTTGGAGAAGAAATAATATCTTATATGTATACATGTTATAATATACTTGCATGTTATCACCGCAGGACATTTAGTTTACTTTAAAAGGATCTGTATTGGACGGTATCAATTGAAGTCTAAAGACAGTTCAAACTTACTTACTTAAAAACATTGATAGATCGGATTCCAGATAGAAACAACGAATTAAACATACCTCTCCTGTGATATACATGTACTCAACGAACGTATTTTATTTCTCATCTTCTTTTATTTTCCAATGAATGCATAATAAAGAGAGTTCTGGAAGTAAGTTGCTGGTTCGAATCAGAGAAGCCATTGTACATCGCAAAAGAAAATACAACATTTTTTGTAATAACATTTATGCTCACCTGAGCTCTTTAAGGATCGTTGAATATCCGTCGTCTGTCGTCCGTCCACACTTGTTCGTTAACACTCTAGCGGTCACATTTTTGCCTCAATCATCATTAAAATTTGTCAGGATGCTTGTCTAGGTAATAGCTCGGATGAGTTCGAACATGGGTCATCTTGGATGAAAAACTAGAAAATAGAACATAATTGTTAACACTCTAGTGGTCACATTTTTGACACAATCATCATCAAACTTGGTTAGAATGATTGTCTAGGTAATTGCTCTGATAAAATTGAACATGGGTCATCTTGGATGGAAAACTAGGTCACAGGAGCTAAAAATAGAATAACCTTGTTAACACTCTAGTGATCACACTTTTGATTCAATTATCATCAAACTTGGTCAGGATGCTTGTCTAGGTAATTGCTCGGATGAGTTTGAACATGGGTCATCTCGGATGAAAAACTAGGTCACATTAGCTAAAATCAAGGACACTGAAGCTTAACATAGAAAAACCTTGTTAACATTCTAGTGGTCACATTTGTAACACAATTATCATCAAACTTGGTCAGGATGCTTGTCTAGGTGATTGCTCGCATGAGTTTGAACATGGGTTATCTCGGATGAAAAACTAGGTCACATTAGCTAAAATATAATAACCTTGTTAACACTCTAGTGGTCACATTTTTGACATAATTATCATCAAACTTGGATGCATGTCTAGGTAATTACTCGGAATGAGTTAGAACATGGGTAATCTCGAAAGAAAAACTAGGTGACATGAGCTAAAAAAAGAAAAATCTTGTTAACACTCTAGTGGCTACTGTTTTGATCCAAATATCCTGGAAATTGGTCTGAAAGTTTATTTTGATGATTTCTAGGTCAAGTTCGAACATGGGTCATCTGGGGTCAAAAACTAGGTTACATCGCCCAAATATGGAAAAACCTTGTTAACGCTTTAGTGTCACATTTCTGACTCAATTGTCATTAAACTTGGTCAGGATGCTTGTCTAGGTAATTGCTCGGATAACTTAGAACATGGGTCATCTCGGATGAAGAACTAGGTCACAGGGGCTAAAAATATAAAAATCTTGTTAACACTCTAGTGGCTACTGTTTCAATTCAAATATTCTGGAAATTGGTCTGAAAGTTTTTTTTTGTGATTTATAGTTCAAGTTCGAATTTGGGTTACCTGGGGTCAAAAACTAGGCCACACTGCTCAAATATGGATAATCCTTGTTATCACTCAAGTGGTCATATTTTTGACTAACCTGTCATGAAACTTGGTCAGAATGCTTGTCTAGGGGTAATTGTTTGGATTAGTTCGATGGGTCAGGTGAGAGATCTAGGGCCATTTTGACCCTCTTGTTTTATTTCTTTTTGCGAATAATTTCCATCTTGACTGGGTATAAAAACAATTTAAGAACTTTATATATACATACTATTTGCTCCGACAAAAAGAAAATTGCAAAATTAACACAATTAATATGCACCGACAACGGTTACACGTGTTATGTATCTCCGATATTTCACACAAACATTTGTGTTGTCCTTTGGGTCATATCATAGTGTTGCAAGAGCAAACGACAACGGTTGCATCAAGCAACTATTCGATTAGCAATTGACTGTAATTTAAGCACTCCGTCACCCAGCATATAACATTTGTCCCAGTAATGACGAAGTGTTGTGTGATAGTTGACTCCTGAAATGTGAAACAAAGCACAGCAGAAAAAAGGGTTGCGGAGGATGGAAAACTAAAAACCTAGTTTAAGATTTTTTACAAAAAAAATTAAAATATGATCAGCAGCTTCATTTCTCATAGAGTTCCAGAACGAAAAGTCGAGCTGAACAACCTTAATATTTTAAAAGATTGACTATATTGTATTATAATGCTGAATAACCAATATTTAGGGAAAAATCCGTTTGACACTTACCGCCTTGCCAATCCACTTTCAAAGGAATACCAATTGTGTTATATTATGTAATACATGGGTAATAAAATTTATCTTTAACACCCTGCTGTTTCAATTTAAATTACTGATGAAAAAGTCATTTAATGATACATTGAGCACTTGAACAGAGGATTTTAGGTAAATGAATTATTAGTCTCGCTAATTTTGTGTTATAAATATCAATTCATGTTTCAAGTACTAATCGCTTTAATTCATCCCAAAATTTCTGTTTTCTAAGTGTCATAACTTGTAATCACGTTTTTGAAATCCTTCATTTACGATAAATGTAGTCTATCTTTATTGCGCTTTTGCCTTACGCAAAGCGCATGCGCAAAATGCAACATCGGTTGCTATGGAAAATCGTACTGTAAAAAAGGTCTATAGCAGTAGTATTACTTTCGCAAATAAATGATAGATATGCAGCAGATTTATGAAATAATTAACTAATTTGAAAAGTTTCATAAGTATGTCTGGAATGTTTAGATTAATAGGAATATATAATCAAGTTAATTTACATTCCGTTTCTCCAATGGGAAAATGATTACGTTC